AGGTTTATCGGCGTCACCCCAACATGCTTCTACTAGATTCGGATGCAACTCCTGGGAGGTCAAATTCAGATTTCGCCTTGGTCCGAAATCCGGCTTAATCTGGCTTAATCCGGCTTAATCCCGCCTAATCCGGCTTGATCACGCTTAATCCCGCTTAATCCGGTTTAATCTTGCTTAGTCCGAGACCCACTCTGGCGTAACAGCTCCCAACTGGGGCTTAATCTTGCTTGATATTTCCAGTAATTGCCTCCTAATACTATATGTGCGTCGCCCCCGCCTGGGGCGATGCGCGCACCGAGAAATCTTATAATATATGCTTCGCGGCGGGCGCTTTCTGGCCACACCACTCGGGAAACGATCTGCTGCAAGATGGGTCTGCTAAATGTTCGGGTCGGACACGCGCCTCCAAGGAGGATGCATAGTATTAGTATGTCTCTGTGCGTCCCATCATGCGTTGCACCCATCGCACTTAAGGACCACATTCCAGAAATACTTTCGAGCACCTGGAAAAGTGTCGAAAGAGCGTCGAAACAGTGTCTCCCAGGGCCCGACACTTGAAAACCCTTGAGTTTCTGTACTTTTCTTGTGCTCGAAATTCTGTCTGGTGATCAGGGCAATAATAAGTTGGAACATCATACATTAAGTCGGGCATGTCCCTCTACAGGAAAAATCTTGCAAAATAGTCAAAATAGTCTGGGGGCGATTTTGTTCTACTATGTTATGCTATTATTGTTTTCTTTTGGGGGGGGCCATGTTTGAATTTTCCTTCAAAGTCCCCCTGCAGGAGGACATGCCCGACCTAAACCAAGCAGTGCAAGTCCCCTGTTTCGATGCCTATTAGCGGAGCCCCGCTCCGCAAATGTGGCCGCGACGAAACCCGGGAGCTTCTGGATCCGAGTCCCTCGAGAATTTCCAGGATGGAGATTGCAGGATGGGGGACCTCAGGACACGCCCACTCCGTTCCCATGGGCACTGGCGGATATTTCACTGTACGATTCGTTTGTTTATCTTACTTTGTATCGGGGTTCGATTTGTCTCTCCTGCTCCACTATCAGGAGAAGGCTAAAAGAGGTTGCGAGAGGACATCCGAAGAGCCCCACAGGCTTCGAGGGAACGCTGTGGCAGTCTCTGCGGCGTCGCCTTGACGGTCTGGTGTGTCCCTGTTTTCTTGATCTAAATATAGTCCTCCAGCGCGCCCGAGAAGAACGAATTATTCAATCGCTTCGCTCATTCCGCCGGCCCGTATTGTGCCATCGCAGGCGTTTGCTTGCGCGTTCGTGGCCTCTTGGAGCCTCGGTGGGGCCGTTTGGGGCCTCTTGGCGCCTCTTTTTAGGCCTCTTGGAGAACTCGGGAGGCCTCCAGGGGGCCTCCTGAGCTCTCGTGACGGTCTCTTGGGGGGCTTTCGGCGGGCTCTTGGCGGTATTTGTTGGTCCTCTTGGGGCCTGGGGCCTGACGTTGTTGGTCCTCTTGGGGCCTCACGGGAGCTTATTGGGGCGTCTTGGGGGTGTCTTGGAGAGTCTCTTGGGGCCTCTTTCGGGGTCCTGGGCGCCTTCTGGGGCGGAGGGCTCGATTTTTCAGTTCTCGGTTCCCTTCTTGAGCCCCTCTTGGGCCCGTCTTGGGGCCTCTTGGTCCGCCTTGGGCAGCACTTGGGCCGTCTGGGGGGTGCTCTTGGGCCGCTCCGGGGCCGTCTTGGGAGCCTCGTGGGCCGTCTTGGAGCAGTCTTGAAGGCCTCTTGGGCCCTCTTGGAGCGTCCAGAAGCGAAAAGGCCAGAACGCAAAAAAACATCGAAAAAACTAATGAATATCAACGATTTTGGCAACTTGGGGCCCTCTTTGGAGGCCTCTTGGAAGGCCCTTGGAGCGTCTTGGAGGCCTCTTGGGCTGTCTTGGGGCCATCTGGGGCGTCTTCGGGCGATTTTTCTCCGCCTCGGGCCTCTCTTGGACCGTCTAGAAAGCTTCTCGGGGCCCTCTTGGACCGATCTGGAGCCCTCTTGGACTCCGAAACAGAACTCCGACATCTCTGACCCGACCTTGCCGGGGACTTGCCGGGGCCTTGCCGGGGTACTTTTCGTCCGGGGACCCCCAGGGGCCGCCCCGCGCGCGCGAACTAGAAATACTGTTAACCAGGTACCGGAGATCTTAGCACGCCCTGGCCCGTTGGGCCGGCGAATGCCCGAGAAGAACGAATTATTAATTGTTTCCTCGCGCTGGCTTGTGTAGTTACTTTCGGACATTTCCAGGCAAAGGTCAAGCCGCACGTGTACATGGACTCGCGTAGGCCACGCCTTCTCGCTCCAGCGATAACAAGTTCTGGCAAACAACTGTCCCGACACGACCCAACGAGTCCCCCAGACTCCGCTTCCAAAAGTTTGCACAAGTTTTCAGGGCCGCTTTGCGAGCATTTCTCCCCTTGTGCCCCCGAGCACAGAAGGTGGCCATCCCAAGCTATGCCATGTTGCTTCCTATGACCAAACTACCCCGTAACTTCGAACTGTCGTCCAAGCCGCGACAGAGGTATCCAGACGGTCTGTCATTTGAACTATTCGGAAGGGAAGGACGAGACATATCCTACCTCTGCACACGATTGAATAGTACCGAGTTCTTGGTGGATCATAATCCACGCTTCCGCCCTAGTCTATACTATCATGCCGCCGCCGGTTAGCTACAGTGCTGGGGTCAGCGCGTGTGAGAAAGGCGAGCAGTGGCAACAGGCTGCGTCTTTGCTCAGCAAGATGCGCGGTGCGATTGTCGACCCTGAAATCACTTGCTACAGCGCAGGGATCAGCACGTTGGGGAAATGCTCTCAGTGGCAACGTGCTCTGTTGATGCTAAGCGATATGAGGGATGCGAGTTTGGAGCCCGATGGCATCTGCTACAATGGTGGGATCAGCGCGTGCGAGATGAGTGGTCAGTTTCGTCAGGCCCTGTCGCTGCTCAGCGAAATGGGGGATGCACAGTTGCAGCCCGACGTGATCAGCTACGGGGCTGGAATTCGATCGTGCGAGAAAAGCGGCCAGATCCAGCGGGCGCTCGTGCTGTTCAGCGAGACGACGTCAGCTACAACGCTGGGACACACGCTCGCGACACAGGCGAACAATGTAGGCTGGCGCACGCGGAACGGCGAGCCGTGGCGACAGTGGGTGGTCTGATTTAGAGACCCCGTGAGTGTGTTAAATTCTGTGATGCGCCACCACGCACGGGGCTGTGCGTGCAGGGCCTCACGCCTCTCGCCGGTGCACCCCCCAACCTCCGATCTAGTTCTGCGACGGCCATTGTAGGATCAGGGTATTCTAGGGCACACGCTTGGCGGGGCGGATTGAACAGGCTTCGCAACGAGACGGGATGGACGGGAGTGGCGTCGCGAACGCAACGAGCTTGCTTCCTTCTTTTCTCGTCTCCCCTCCCCTTCCTGCCCCCCTTTACGGTGACACAGTATGAATGGCCTTCGGCCCATCCCGTGCTTGGGTTGTGGGTATGAATAGATTGGATGTTCGTTGGGATCTCGTGGGAGGCTTCTCGGGGGCCTCTTTGAGGCAGTTTGTGCGCCTCTTGGGGGCAGTTTGGATGCCTCTGGGGCCCCTTTTGGGCCTCCTGGGGGGCCTCTTGGGGCCTCTTGGGGCCTCTTGGGGTCTCTTGGGGGCCTCTTGGTGCCTCCTGGGCGCCTCTTGGGGCCTCCTGGGGGCCTCTTGGTGCGGAAGGCACGGGTTTTCGATTCGTGCTGCCCCTTTTGAACCCCTTTTGGGGCCGTCTTGGGGCTCTCCTGGGCCGTTTTGGGAGGCCCCTTGGACTCTTGGGCCGTCTGGGGCTGGGGACCATCTTGCGCGTCTTGGAGCGATCGTTTGGCGACCTGGGGCCTCCTTGGACCGTCTTGGGGGCTTTTGGAGGACCCCCTTGGCCCGTCGTGGGGCCCTTTTGGGGCTCGAAGAAGTCACGCGACAGACCGCGCCGCGCCCCGAGGAGGTTCGGGCCGAGGGCCTCGGGACCCTTTTACAGACTCCTCGGGAGGGAGGACCGAGGCTGAGCGGGGCAGCGACAGGACCTGAGAACACGCCCACTCCTTGCCGCCCAGAGGCGCGGTGGCGGACTCCCTTCTACCATCCAGAGGATTTTCAGTCTCCTCCGTATATTGACTGAGTGTCCCCGATGCAGCGTGAGTTCCATTTTCGAATCGGCGTTATGGCCCCGCCGTCCAGAACAGCGCTCTTGCCCCCACCTCAGCGCGGGCAGCGCGGGCCACTTTTCTGGATCCGAGCTCTTCTTTATCGCTGTTGCCCCCCATTTTCTCTCCTCCACCTTCCCCTGGTCCTCCTGCTCATCCTGCTCCTTCAACTGCAGCTCCTGCTGCTGCTGCTATTCGTCCTCGCCCGTCTTCCTCCTTCCTCCTCCTCCTCCTCCTTTTCCTCGTGCTCATCCTTCTGCTTATCCGCCAACTCCCCCTCCAATGTACGCAGCTTCCCTTTTTTCCGATTGCGCGTAACACGATAAGAGGTTCTCTTTGGAGCTCCAGGTCCGCTGCGACACGCGTCGGCGGATAGGGAAACAATCAGCGCAGACATGGCCAGGGGGCCACATGCGAACCCCACCCCTACCCCCCACGATTTCTGAGGGGGAGGGTGGGGTTCACTTCGCTCGGAACCTCCCGAACGAAGTGAACCCCACCCTCCCCCTCAGAAATCCTGGGGGGTAGGGGTAGGGTTCGCATGTGGCCCCCTCCTCCTCCTCCTCCTCCTCCTCCTCCTCCTCTCCTCCTCCTCCTCCTCCTCCTCCTCCTCCTTGCCCCCCCCCGCCCCTTCGCCCCTCGCCTTCTACACATGCCGCATGCCGCTCCGCCCACGCCCAGGGGGCGCCGTGGGAGCCCCCATGGGAGTCCCCATGGGGAGCGTCATCCACTCGCCCGCCCCCTCCCCTGCGATCGTTCTATGACTCATTGTCTTGCCGATCGGCGCGGGCCCTCGCACCCCCCCTGCCTCCCCCATTTCCCCCTGGGGACGCCTGGCCCAGCTTCGAGAGCGACTACGTCGACTGGTGCTAGCACCGAGCGGGCCTCAGGCGCGCTCCCGCCCCCCCGGGGCCTCCTCCGGGAGCTGCGCCTTCCAGCCTTCCGGCCTTCCGGCCCTCCCCATGGAGCAGATCGTGGCTGTTTGGGGCGCCTGATTCGAGCAGGCGGGGTCTCCCCGCCGTAGGACGCGCTGCTGCAGACCGCCGCATGAAGCAGGGGTCCGGAGCCAGACCCCCCCCCCCCCCTTCCGCCCAATGTCGAAGCACCGAATAAGAACACGTCCGCCATGCAGTCGGGACCATCATGGATGGAGAGCGTCCTCCTCGTCGATGCATCGGGCATCCTTAGGGAGGCTGGAGGGGGGCCCACGAGCCGCCCTCCCCCGCCTGCGCCCCTCTCCTTGCTCCTCTGCTCAGCTCCTCAGCCCTCTTCCCCTCCCACCTCATGTCATGCCTCCTCCTCCCTCCTTCTCCTCTCCCTCCTTCTCCCTCCTCCTCCTCCTTCTCCTCCTCCTCCTCCTCTTCTCCTCCTCCTCCTCTTCCTCCTCTTCCTCCTCCTCCTCCTCTTCCTCCTCCTCCTCCTCCTCCTCCTCTTCCTCCTCCTCCTTCTCCTCTTCCTCCTTCCTTCTTTTTTCCTCACGTCTTCCTCATGCTCCTCCATACGCCTCCTCTTCCTTCCGCCATCCTATCCTCCTCACGTCTTCCTCATGCTCCTCCACACGCCTCCTCTTCCTCCCGTCATCCCACGCACTTCCCATCATCTTCGTCCCCCCCCCGCACCCCACACGCCTTGCTGGACTAGCCCCGGAAAGTGGAAGTCAGCGCCGCACCTTTTTTGCGCCCAGTCTTCCAGAGACTCACCAGACCGCTCGCCCCGTGGCCCAGCGCCAGCCACGAAAATCGAGTGCATGCCCTGCCCTCTCCAGAGGGAGGGAGCCACAGTTGAGATGAGGCCGTCTGTGTTGAGGCCGTCTGTGTTCGTTTGTCGATTCGCGCTGCGGGAAGTCCCCACTGTTCTGGAGCTGCGGTGCAACAGCCACGCAGATCGCGGCGTCGCTACCTTTCAGTCGGGCCTGTTCCTCTACAGGAGGAATAATCAAAAAATAGTCAGGGGACGGTTGTTTGACTATTTTTGACAATTTTGGTGCATGTGTGGAGTATTTTTAGTTTTTCTCCCAAAATCCGCCTGCAGGGGAACATGCCCGACCGCACGCTGCGGAATCAATCATCCACATGTGTTTTTGTCCCCCCGTTTCTCTTGTCGGCAATGCCTGGCACCAAATCTTATTGAGCACGGTTCCGCTGTAGGGTACTCTCGGAGGTCAAGAACTGGCCCCAAAGGGGCCCGTTCTTGAGGGGTCGTCTTCCGTGCAGTTCGTGCGTCGCAGCTCCAGAGTGCCACCCCTGCAAAGGAAGTGTTCCCGGGGACGGGGTTAGGCTCTAGATTCACGTTTCTCTGTGCCCTTTCTTTGTTCTTGCCATTGTTGCCCTTCCCTGGGTGCTGCTGGTCCAGCGGAAACGTGCCGCCATGTGCAAAATTCTCCACTTTCCTTTGCCGATATATGTCCTTTGTATCTGCCACTCCCTCACTCTCTCACTCTTTCTCTCGTCCCTCTCTCTCTGTTCTCCCTCTATCTGTCTCTCTCTTGTTTTTTTTTTTGTTTCTCTCTCTCTCTCTCTATTTCTCATCTCTCACCCTCTCTCTCTCTCTCTCCTCTCTCTCTCTCTCCCGATCCTGCCGCAAGCGAGGCCTTGCAGAATGTGCTGCCTGCTGCGCCCTGAGGCCTGAGGGCGCGGGCTCGCGCACGACCGGGACCGCCTGCGAGATCCCGACTGGGATTTTTTGTGAGATCCCGCCGAGCCCCACCCTTATCGCCGTTTCAGAGGCAACATTAGGGGTGGATCAGTTGGAGGAGGTTCGAGGTTTTCTGGCGTTTTCGTCGGTTCTCGGCGGCTCTCTGGCTTCGGGGTGCTCCCCAGCAGCTGCGTCTCGCCGAGAGGGCTCTGGGGTTGCCCAGATCGTCCCGAACGCCCGCCAAAGAGCTGAGGTATCACCCGAAAGCCAAGGGGCAACGATATGGGGACAGGAGAGCCCAGGATCGAATCGACAAGTCGGATCGGCGATCGACATGAATCGGATCGGCGGAAAGCGGCAGCCGAGTCGGAACAAGTCGAATCGGCGGAAATCGGCAGGCTTGTCTGTGTACGCGTCCGGTGAGACATCGGAGCCCGAATCGGCATTCCAAGCCACATCGAATCGCAGAATCGGGATCCAGCGAAATCGAATCGAATCGAATCGGGGATAAAATCGAAACGAGCCCAGGGGGGAGGCCTTGACCCCCAGATCGGACTTCCAAGCCAAATCGAATCGGAATCGGGATCCATCGAAATCGAATCGAGTCGAATCGGGGAAGCATCGAAACGAGCCCAAGGGGGGGAGGCCTGGACCCCCAGGTCGCCCATATATAGAGAGATCGCCCAGCGTGGGCCCGACGGCTCGCCCCGCCCAGGACCGCGGGATCATAGCTGGCCTTCCCCTGACCTTCCAGGGAGCTACTGTTTTAGCACGGGAGGCCTAAAAGCCTACTCCAGATTTCGTAATAAAGGGAGGGGGGTCTCATTTCGGGGGGAGTCTTTTCCAAGCTATCTTGGAGGGGCCTGGGGGGGTCTGGGGACGATGTTCTGGAGGGTTCTCCCCGGGGGGGGGGGGTCTGAAATGGCTTGTCTTGGAGGGTCCAGACCCCCTCCCTTTTATCACAAAATCTGGAGTAAACCACGGAGCGAAGCAGCCTAAAGCCAAGACGTGGAATAGCTCGGGGATGGGTTTTCGAGTCGCGTGCTATTCCAAATCCCTTATTAATCGTCCCCCGGGTCCGGTTTTTTAAGGCGCCTTTTTGGTCATTAAGGGGGTCCGTTTTATTAGGTCGCTTTCTTCGGATTGGAGCTGAGGGGGTCTGGCTTACTGAGGCGCCCCCTCGAAGAGGGGGTCCGGAATATGAGGTCGCATTTGGAGGGGGGTCCGGTTTTTTAGGGGGGGGTCGATTATTAATAAGGGATTTGGAGTACGTGTTAGCCCTCCTGGAAGGTCCGGGCTCGGGGGCCTCCTCCTCCTCCTCCTCCTCCTCCTCCTCCTCCTCCTCCTCCTCCTCCTCCGCCTCCGCCTCCTCCTCCGCCTCCGCCTCCGCCTCCGCCTCCGCCTCCGCCTCCGCCTCCTCCTCCGCCTCCTCCTAGCTCGGGGATGGGTTTTCGAGTCGCGTGCTACGCTTTAGCCCTCCTGGAAGGTCCGGGCTCGGGGGCCCATGGGCCCAGTCTCTGGCGGCGGGCCGCCGAGTCCCTGCGCGGCGTGGCTCCCCCTGAGCTGGCCCCCCCCCCGCTCCCAACGCTGCCCCGCCCTTCGCCTCCTCCTCCTCCTCCTCCTCCTCCTCCTCCTCCTCCTCCTCCTCCTCCTCCTCCTCCTCCTCCTCCTCCTCCTCCTCCTCCTCCTCCTCCTCCCCCTCACGCAGATCGGCGGGGTCAGGGTCCAGAAATAGATCGGATTTGCTACATTTCTGGCATTCGGTGGCGCCCCTCACGCAGATCGGCGGGGTCAGGGTCCAAAAATATAACGGATTCGCTACATTTCTGAAATTCGGTGGCGCCCCTCACGCAGATCGGCGGGGTCAGGGTCCAAAAACACTGAATGCTAATCGCAGGCATCCCACTCCCTCCGACCCGGGCATGCAGAAGCCCAGGCAGGGCATGCAGACGGGCTGGCGTGGGAGGAGCTCATCGAGAAGCATCCGAAACGTGTATATAGCCCAGGAGTGCTGCGCACGGCGGGGAGGAGGAGGTAGAGGAAGGAGGGGAGGGAGCAGGGAGGGAGGCGGGAGGGAGGGAGGGGAGGGAGGAGGGAGGGGAGGAGGAGGATGCATACCCGCAGCCCAGCCTCGAGTGAGCCTGGAACTTCCGGACGACGCTATCGAGTCATCGTGTCTGCCGTGCTGGCCTGTGCTGTTGGGCCAGCGGCTCCAGTGTAAAGGGTTATGTGGGCCCTCGGGGGAGGTAGGAGCGTGTTTCTCTATTGGTTGGGGCACAATGGTAACGCCCCTCCCCCCAGTGCGCTCCGGGCACTGCCGCCGTGCGCAGGGCCGGGGGGAGGCGTTATATCATACCTCCGCCTGGTCCCTCCCCCCCTATTAATTCGGGAGGACCGACTTGGGTACGGAAATAATGGGTACAATGCCCAACAGCAGTGCCTGTTGTTGATTTTGAACAGGACTCGCTGTCCACGCCGCCACGGCCTGTGTCCATTCGAGACAGAATGCCGCCTACACAACAGCGGCCGCTGTTGGTTCGGGTCAACATTTGCCGTTGGGCATTGTACCCATTCTTTCCGTGCCCATTTCGGGCGTCCAAAATAATGCCTATTACCGCCGAAAATAATTCAACGCGCTCTAGATATCGGGGCACTGCCTGACGAGCAGCACACATCACCAGATGCTGGCGACGTGTGGTCCAGATATCTTGCGAGCTACACGCAGGCGAAGGTGGCATCGTGCGCTGGTCTGGGCGGCCCCCCCCCCGTGGGCAAAGCATGCCCAGGCTGCGGTTGCGGAATTTGGCAGTCTCATGTTTGATTGGTTGATTGATTGTTTGCTTGCGTTTCCCCTGTTGTTTCGATGTGTTTATCGATGGTGTCCCGAACAGCCGTAGACGCGCTAACTGTGTATTGGCTACCGGCGAAGTAGGAAGACCAATTGTAGGAAGGCATGGTTCGTGGCCATGCCAATTGTAGGAACGCGTGGTTCGTGTTTTCCTACAACTCGCTGTGTCGTTTTCGTTCGATACATGTGCACATCTGAAATATCGGAAACGGTGTTTTGTGATGTTCTACATTTTGTTCTGCGTGAGCTCAATGTTACAAAAAAAATCCCAACATCGCCGTTAACCAACATCGCTGTTAGCGCGGCCTTGGAACAGGGCATCACTTGGCCCTCCCCGCGTTTCCGCAAACGGCTGAGGCACGTCGAACGGATCATGGCCAGCTCATCCTCGGCAACAACATGCTACCAAGGACCAATCTTTGTGTACCCCAGGGCCTGCACCTGAGAGGCAGATCTTCCAGGCATCAGCAGACAAGTGCCGCTCGGACTGTACAGTCAAAAAGTTCCCGCAGGAGTGTACGTTTTTTTTACGGCGGTCCGCTGGCGGTGCTTGCTTGGACTAAACGCCGTAGACATGCTAGCCGCAGCTCAGACCCTGAGCTGGTTTCGCACGACGCGGGAATCCCCAAATAGATGTTTGATTGGTTTGGTCCCCTCTGGGACCAGCAAGCGCAACAAACGTCAAGTGAGCGACACAAAAGGACGGGTTCCATCGCGCCGACATCGGCGCGTCAGCTGCCCGCGGAAGCTCGCGCGCAAGCGCCCTCGCCTCAAGTGTGGCGCGGTCGCGCGGGCGGCCCGCGTGAGCTGCGGCGTAAGGTCGCTGCGCCATCTCGCGCAAGGCCCGTTTTTGATCGTCGCTCAAACGTTGGGCGGCCTCCTGGATGTCGGAGGCCTGGAAATTCTTCACGCTTCGCGTATCCCCACCAGCCCATCTCAAAACAGCAACTCTTGCGAAGCATGCCGACAGTCGTGTTTTTCAGGCGTGTTTCCGCCTGCCCCCGCATATCTCCGGGCCTCTCGTCCTGGTGTGAGTCGTTCGGGCCCTTCTTCCTGGTGTGAGTCGTTCGGGCTCTTCGTCGTGGTTTGAGTCGTTCGGGCTCTTCGTCCTGGCGTGAGTCGTTCGGGCTTCTCGTGGTGTGAGTTGTTCGGGCCCTTCGTCCTGGTGTGAGTCGTTCGGGCTCCTCCTCCTGGTATGAGTCGTTGGGGCTCCTCGTGGTGTGAGTCGTTCGGGGCCCTCGTCCTGGTGTGAGTCGTTCGGGCTCCTCGTGGTGTGAGTCGTTCGGGCGCCTCGTCCTGGTGTGAGTCGTTCGGGCCCCTCCTTGTGGTGTGAGTCGTTCGGGCTAATCGTGGTGTGAGTCGTTCGGGCCCCTCGGCCTGGTGTGAGTCGTTCGGGCTCCTCGTGGGGCCTCTTGGGGGCCTCTTGGAGCCTTTTGGGGCCTCTTGGGGGCCTCTGGGGGGCCTCTTGGGGGCCTCTTGGGGGCCTCTTGGGGCCTCTTAAGGCCTCTTGGGAGCCTCTTGGGGGCCTCTTGGGGGCCTCTTGGGACCGCTGGGGGGCCTCTGGGGGGCCTCTTGGAGGCATCTTGGGAGCCTCATGGGAGCCTCTTGGGGCCATCTTGGGGCCTCTTGCGACCTCCTCAGAAGCGCAAATGAGAGCTGCCCCCTGAAAAGAACAAAATGAGCCCAAAACCTTCGTAAAAGCAATGATTTTGCTATGAAGGAAGATGAGCGCGGCCCCCTCAGGACGCCAAAATAGGGCCAAAACCGTAGTAAAATCAACGATTTTGGCTTCAAAGAAGAGCAGAGGGGCCAAATTGTATCCCCCCGACGGGGCCAGAATCCTCGTGAGGGTCGTCGTTTTTTGGCCCTCCCAGGACTCAAACAAAAAACCCTGACTACGCCCCGGACTCCCTGTCCAGGTCCAGGGGGAGGGGGGAGGGGGAGGGGTAAACCCCTCCCCGAAGGGGAAGATGGGGGGTTGAGAACAGAGAGAGCTCGCTAAACCACTCACGCCCAAAGGGCTGGTGGGATTGGCACCAACACCAAGACAGAGGGTTGCCTCCACAGGGGGAAGATGATCCTAGATTTTCGGTGTTGGTGGCAATAGTTCGGCCACCTTGGAAGCCAGAATATCACCACCATCACCGAGATCGGGATCCTCTTCCCCCGGTGGAAGCACACCGCCGAAATTGGTGCTGGTGTCAATCTCTAGGCCTGCGAGGATGTGCTCCTGGTGCCCTTGGTTGTACCGTCGCAGCAGCAGGCAAGCGCTCGGGTCGCCGGAACGAGCGCCCCGCCGAGCTTTGTGTGCGGCTCTCCCCCCGGGGAGGGCCCCTCGGGGCCGACACGGGGCCCTCTGGGGTACGCCTGAGGGGGGCCCCCGGAGATCGACGGTGAGTGCGCCCCACGGTGGTTCTTGCAGTCCACCCGCATGGGAGGGGTGGGCGGCCTTCCCAAGGGTACCTATACGACCACCCTGCGGGTGATAAGGAGGTTGGGGGGGGGGGGGGGCCCAGCAATGGGCAACAGTGGTGAATGTTGTTGTGACAATGCCAGTGGAGATAGTTGCGTTGCCGCTCCTCAGCCACACGGGACACCAGCGGGACACCGGCGGGACACCGCGAGGCACCGGCCGCCCGGTCAAGGTTCTTTTGTTCCGGCCGAGCCTCAGCCACAGGAGACTTTCTCTCGCCCGCCCACGCAGCTTCGCCTCGCCCGCACGGCACGCACGAACACGAAACCGAAATCGATTTCCCGGTAGGGGGGCTCTCCGTTCCACTTCGATCTCACCCCCCAACCTCCGAACCCCATGCCCTAATCTTCCAGAGAGCTATTTTTTAACACTGGAGGCCCAAAAACCTCAAAGACGGAACGAAGCAGCCTAAAACCAAGACATGTAATAGCTCTGGGATAGGTTTTTAGGTCGCGTGCTATTTTTTAGCCCTCCTGGAAGATCCGGGTGGTAAGGGTACCCTTGCAGCCTTGCCCCAGAAGAAGGGCACCCTTGCCTCCTCGCGTCCAGGATGGGCAGCCTTCCCGCGGAAGAGTGGGCGCCTTTGCACCCTTGCCCCTTCGGCCCATCCTTGGCGACGTTCTCTGGCCAGCCTCGTTCGAAGAACGTCAGCGTGTGGGCCTCCAAGGCCCTGCCCTGGCATCCTTACCGCGCATCCTGATGCTACGGGTTGACTGCATGGCAGGGCTCCTTATCGTACCGTGGGGACGCGCATCGGGAAGCCACGCGCAATTCATCGGGGTACCTTTGAGTTATTCGCTGTGCGCGCTGCGCGGTGACTCCCCGCGGGCAGCGAGGAGCTGCTGCACCCATTGTGCCTTTGGTTTCCCCACGGTTGCATCTCGCGCGCGTGTTAGTTTTCTGTGGTTGGGCTTCTTGCGACGAGGCTTTCTTGCGGCCGCGGCCGCGCTGTATGTGCCTGCACCCCACATCACGGCCTCTGTATCCAGCTGCCCAACACCAGTGGCCCAACTTGCAGGCCCAGCGCGCAGACTGGTCGCCAGAAGGCATCACGCCGATGCGAGACTTGCTTCAGAGGGGGCCCCCTGTGAGAAGGAGGAGGAGGAGGGTGTGTACTCCAGATTTCGTAATAAAGGGAGGGGGGTCTCATTTCGGGGGGGGGTCTCTCCCAGGCTATCTTGGAGGCCCTGGGGGGGTCTGGGGCCGATGTTTTTTGGAGGGTTCTCCCACGGGGGGGGGGCCTGAAATGGCTTGTCTTGGAGGGTCCAGACCCCCTCCCTTTCATTACGAAATCTGGAGTAGGCAGAGGAGGAGGAGGAGGAGGAGGAGGAGGAGGGAGGAGGAGGAGGGGAGAGGAGGAGTAGGAGGAGGAGAGAGGAGGAGGAGGAGGAGGGAGGAGGGAGGGGGAGGGGAGGGGAGGGAGGAGGAGGAGGAGGAGGAGGAGGAGGAGGAGGAGAAGGAGGAGGATGGGAGGAAGGAGGGAGGGGAGGAGGAGGAGGAGGAGGAGGGCGACAGCCACGACGAGGCAAGGGGGGGACTCCTGTGGGCCCCTGAGAGGGGGCTCTGGGCTCTCGGGCCCGGGGGCCCGCGGACCTGCCGGGTGATGGCCGAGGCCCGCCGTGGCCCGAGGAGGCCCCTCGTCGTATACCTCCTCCTCCTCCTCTCCTCCTCCTCCTCCTCCTCCACCTCCTCCTCCTCCTCCTCCTCCTCCTCCTCCTCCTCCTCTCCTCCTCCTCCTCCTCCTCCTCCTCATCCTCCTCCTCCTCCTCCTCTCCTCCTCCTCCTCCTCATCCTCCTCTCTCCTCCTCCTCCTCCTCCTCAGGGGGTGGCGGTCGACCTCGCGGGCGTGCGGCCCTGCGGCCCTCCCCGGGGGAGCCCCGAGGAGGTGGCGGTGGTGGCGGTGCACGGTGCCCCTTGCCGCAGCACGACGGTGGTGCAGTCAGGCAGGGCTGGACCTAAACGGTTAAAACGACGCGAAGATCGGGACAAAATCGGATCGGGATAACTCGAAGTCTCTGAGAATCGGCGGGTTTGGAGGATGTATTGGGCGCCGCGGCCGCTCCAGAGCGTTCCGGAACGCTCTGAGAGCGCTCCGGAACGCTCTGGAGCGATTTATCCCGACCCTAGCCCTGTTTTAACGGTGTTTTGGCGATTTCGTGTGCCGCTTTCGCGTCGATCTCGTTTTGCGGGAAGGGCGGATGGAGGACAGAACAGCGGAACACGGAACCAAAACGAAGACGAAACACAGCGTTTAGGTTCAGCCCTGGTTAGTCAGGCCGCCCGGGACAGGTGCCCCGAGGGTTTCCAGAGTCTGCCGTGCTGCCAGACAGGCCTCGGACAAAAATAGGGAACACTCGTGCCACATTCATCTGTGAACGCCTCCCCCTCCCCCCAATGTTCAAAGTTGGCGGTGGGTCTGATGAGTTGCACCTCGACCGCAGTCTCCCCCGCGCGTGCCAACCTTGAGTTTGGGGGGCACGGGGGGGTGTTCACTAATTGTTTCCCTCTACTGGATGGTCAACTCCCGACGATAAGGGGCCTGCCTGCCTGCAGGCATGCCCAGCGGCTGGGGCAGGCACCCGAATGCCGCCGCATCTCTCCGGCGCTTGACAGACCCCCCCCCCTGGCAGGCCGGGCACGGTCGGACCGAGGTGTAAAGATACGGGATGGCTCGGCGAGGGTACCGCATTGTTCTTCGTGCTTGTCGGATGCTCTCGTGCATCCTGGGGGAGGGCACCCTCGAATCATCTCGGGTCCAGACGCCGTCACTCACCCTCCAGAGCTGCCAGGACAGCCTCGGACGGCCCCAGGCCGCCCCACAGACCCTCCCACACGGCCCGCGGGGACCCCGAGGGGACTCCGGAGACGTGCGCACCCTGGAGGCCGAACCCATGGAAGACGTGATGCCGAATGCTCATCACCTTGGCCAGCGGAGGGTCGCCCGCGCTCGAGGCGTGCTGCTCTGTCCCAGGCGTGGCTGTATAGAGGCCTGCCCCCGCGTCGGCTCTCGAGCTGGGGGTGGTGCCGCGGCCGCCGCAGCTCTGCGGGCCCTCGGCCGCCGCGTCCGGCCCCGGGTCCGCTTTCGGTGAGTGGACTTGGCGTCGCTCGGACGTGTGCATTTTTGTTTTCTCGGCGAGGACCATCGAGGGCCATCTTTGACCGTTTAGCGAAAAAAAAGCACGCTCGAAGTCGAAACATGCACGGGGAATGGACGTCCGAGCGACGGCGAGTGAAGGGGTGTTTTTCCAGAGGGGTTCTGTCCAGCTCCGATTGGGCGCGAAGTAATGGGGCGATAAATGGGGGGGAGGGGGGGGGGGGGGGAAGGTGCCATTTTCGGACCCCATAGGCCCCTTTCTGGGCAAAAAGGCTCCCGTAGGGGCCCTGATGGGCCCCTTTTCTGCAGCCATGCTGCGCCCCCCCCCCCCCCCCGATGTAGTCGACCCCCCATGAATTCTCGCCCAACCCGATCTCTCTTTCACATCTGCTCTAGGTCCTTCCCCCGCTCCCAGCCCTGCTTTCCATCCCCTCGCGAGCCCCCCAGCGGGAATAGTCTGAGTTTCACGGCCAGCTTGTTGCGCAGAGTCTTCTTTTTTGAGGACGGCGCATATGGTGAGGTGCGGAGATGGTATGAGATTGTCAGAGTAAGGGGCCCGAATGGTCTTACACCATCCCTGGGTGCGTGGCTGAAGTGTGATTCCGCGGTGCGGATTCTGCATGTGGCGCTGCATTGCATTGATGTCGTCGTCCTCGCATACGACCCGCCCGCGACCCGCCCGCGCCTCCTCCCTCTGACCCGCAACTGCGGGGGACAAGTGATGTGTACTTGGTGTGCCACGTGGCTCTGGGATGACCAGCGGGAGGGACCGGAGGTGGAGAAGATCGCCACGAAGCAAACGTGTCCCGAGGGAAAGGCCGGCGGTGCTCCAGCGAGGGTGGGGTGAGGGGGGCGGAAGAAGTCGGGGGCTTTCCCAGAAGGCCCCGGAGGCTCGCAAAAAGGCCGCTTAGAGGCCTCCAGGGGCCTTCTCGGAAGGCTCCTGCAGGCTCGCAAGAAGGCCGCTTGGAGGCCTCCAGGGGCCTTCTCAGAAGGCCCCTGGAGGCTCGCAAGAAGGCCGCTTGGAGGCCTCCAGGGGCCTTCTCAGAAGGCGCCTGGAGGCTCGCAAGAGGGCCGCTTAGAGGCCTCCAGGGGCCTTCTCGGAAGGCCCCTGGAGGCATGCAAGAAGGCCGCTTGGAGGCCTCCAGGGGCCTTCTCAGAAGGCCCCTGGAGGCTCGCAAGAGGGCCGCTTGGAGGCCTCCAGGGCCTTCTGAGAAGCTAAGAAGCCCCCATGCCTTCTAGGAAGCCCGTTGGCTTCTTGGAAGGCATTCCCCCCTCGCGCCATTCCCCCGTGCGCGCCTGGATCAGGAGGGGGAAAACACACAGACACAACTCATCGTCGACTACCAGGTAAGTATCGGAAGATATTGAAAGTGAGGGGGGGGACACGGAAGCCCATACCAAATCGGGAAATATTGGACATCTTGCGATTTGTGCTTGTTTATTTGTGTGTCCCTGGGCCCCTTCGCTGGAGACGTTCTCCGTTGTCGGGCTCGTGGGGCTCTACGCGGGGCCCCGAGGCCGTCCGTAGGCGGTTCGGGAGGAGGAGGAGGAGGAGGAGGAGGAGGAGGAGGAGGAGGAGGAGGAGGAGGAGGAGGAGGAGTTGGTCCCGCGTCGGCCACTTGCAGAGGGGGGCACAGTCAACCCGCGTAATAAGGATCGGCATCCTTCCCGAGGGTACCCTTGCATCCTTGCCTCCTATGTCCATCCTTGGCCACTTTTGCTGGCCGCGCCCCGCTCGCAAAGCTTCGAAATAGCCTTTCAAGGCCCTTGCATCCTTACCGCGCATCCTTATGATACGGGCCGACTGTACAGTGGAAACCCATGCCAAGAAACGCCCTGCTTGCCTCCAGGGTGCCCTGGGTTTCGTGGGTTTCGATAGTTCTGCCATGGAAAGCGTGACGCTTCCGCCCCGGAAATCCATGGACGTACTGGGGTCTCAGGATTGGGCTTCTTGTGGAAGGTCTCTTGTGGTCGAGCTCCTACCGTAGGGGGAGAGTGTAGAGCTTCTCAGGAGCAACAATGAGGACGTTCCAACCCTCGATCCCAAACGATCGCGATACATGCCATTATCCTGGTGGATGCGTGAGTGGTGGCGGAAATGCGCGCAGACGGCAAGGAATCGACCCCGATGACGGTATCTTCTCGAACTCAACGTCCTACCTTTTCTTTTGGTCAGATTCGTCGTCGTCGGCGTCCTCCTCATTTCACCTCATGAGCCAGAAAGACAGCTCTCAGGTTTGGAGGATGGGGCTCAGAGAAACGATCCGTCCACCCGTGTTCTCGCCAATGCTGAACGGGCCTCTTTCACGGTCGTGCCCCGTATCTTCCCAAACCCTTCCCCCAAACACGAGAATCGTCTCTCGACGGCGTCGCTGCCGCTCTCCTCGGGAGGAAGGGGGGAGGAGGAGGAGGAGGAGGAGGAGGAGGAGGAGGAGGAGAAGGAGGAGGAGGAGAAGGAGGAGGAGGAGGAGGAGGAGGAGGGGGCTCGGCAATTCAAGGACGGGGTCCTGAGGGATGGGGGCCCGCAGATGGGAATCTCGGCATCGCTCGGACGTGTGCGTTGTTCCTTCGGCGAGGACCATCGAGGAGCATCCTTGATCATTTGGCGAAAAAGCTACGCACGGAACCGAAAAAAACGCAATAAGTAGACGTCCGAGCGATGGCGAGGAATGGGCCCAAGGGTGGGCTCACAGCAGACGACCAAAGGGCTCCCAGGAAGCTTCCAGAGAGCTTCAGGGCAACCAGCGACTGCCGGGAGCTCCAACGTGTATGCTCCAGAGGCGGCCAGCGAGCCTCCAACAGACTCCGAGGGGACCCAGAAGCCCCCAGCGAGGGCCTCCAGGGGGTCGCCGCGAGGGGGTCTCGGGTCTGCCTGGTGAGAGGAAGAGGGGGGCAGTGTGGCCTCTGCAGGACGTCGGTGTCGAGGCTCAGGTGGGTGGTCCGTTGTTGTTCGTGCTCCGCGCGCAATTCGGTGGCAGAAGTCCCGCGGCGTTGAAGACCAATGCAGCGTGACGCGACCCCACGCGATGTGAGCCCAAACGCCTGAACTGTTTCTCAATCTTGTTCCTGAGCGCGTGCAGCGCTAGTGAGCGTAGCCCCTGTACGCTCTTCATGATTCCTTGTTTGACCTGTTGATTAGTTGTATTATGGACCGGCACTCGCGTGATTGATGCGGTCCAGCATGGCTTCATTTGATGTCCTGAGTTCATTTGATGTCCTTGTGGTGTTTGGATCATCGCGTTGAAGAGACGGCGCCCCGCGTCACCTCACCTCACTCCCGCCTCTCTCTTCCTGTGTTCCTTCCCTTGCTTCTGCCACCTCCCGCATGTCCTCATCGTCATCCTCTCCATCCTCATCTCATCCGCAGCCATCTTGGATCGAGCTCGAATCGTGCTCCCTGGCACTTCGAGCTTGGACGCTGCCAATGTGATCATCAAGTGTCCTGACTCGGGGGGGCAGGCTTCCAGACTCTTGCTGTGCGCCAGCGCACGGCCCGTTGTGACTTTTTGCCCTCGCACCGCTCCCACCTGCCCGCTTCCGCCCCTCCTGCTGGCGGCTGCAGGCGACAGTGCGCTTGCCCAAATCATGGAGAGGTTCGGCGCTGCCGACCAAGGCCTCGCCTAGTGTCGTGGGCTTGCTTCTTGGAGTGACGCCAGCGAGACTCGCACGAGCAAGTTCGAGGAGGACACCGACCGCAGTCTCCCCGAGCTGAGTCGGAAGCTGGACGCGATCGCCTCCGGGCACGCCTTCGGGAAGCCTGGGCAGTTGCAAGTGAAGGATATCTGGAGGGAGGAGGGAGGAGGGAGGAGGGAAGTCGGAAGTCTGTTCCATCGGACTGTCAGGTATCATCCGTGTCCCGCCCGATGTCGGTAGCCTCTTCGGGGTCCACGGTGCTGCCCTCGTCGCCTGCGTGCTTCTGCCTCGCCGCCATGCGAGGAGGTCAACCCGTGGCGGCGTTGGGTGCGTGGGCCCCCCGTGGAAGTCGGCGCAGGCCCGTTGCCTGGCCCTCCTCTCGATCTTGAATCGGGGGCGGAAAAGAGGGGGGTGATGACTAGGGGGGGGTGGATATCATGGCGGGGGCCATGATATTTCTCCAGATTTCATGGCGCCTCTTCTTATTTTATTACGTCCCTGGCCCCCCCGCTGGGCCGCGCACATGCCGCCGGTCATGATTTGCACCCCCCCCTCTTGGACACCCCCCTCTTGGCCGCTCCCGATTGAAACGAGCCGCCCTGCCGAGCTGGTCGACACAGCCGCTCTGACGCTCCAGCCTGTCCGGTCGTCCTGCGCTTATATGTCGGACGTGTCCCCCTACAGGGGGATGTTCGACGAAGAAGTAAAAGCACCCCAAACATGCTCCAAAAAAAGTCAAACAATATTCAAAAACGAGTCCCCAGACTATTTTTGCTGTATTTTTTTTTGTTTTTTTGGGGATATTTTTTATTTCTCGTCGAAAATCCCCCTGTAGGGGGACAGGCCCGACTTAATCCTGCGCCCCTTCGACACCCAACCTCAGGCCGACATCCTCTGGGGCCACTTCAATTCTTGCTCCATGGCGTGGGTTGGTCCACGCACGAGCTCTTGTCATTCGATGCGGTTGGGGGGGGATCAGCCTCGTGGCACAAAAGCATTTGTTGTTGGGGTGGCCTGCAATCTTCTCTCTGCTAAGATGAAGCGTACTCGGCGGTGGAGTCGTCAGAGCATGACCTTCTGCACCAACCCCTTGCAAGGCGTCTTGTACTTGATGCAGGACGGAGACCTGTGCGAGATCGTGGCAAAAAATGAGGGTGGGGGAAATCGATTCGAGCAAGCGCTTGCACCTCTCCGATCAGTTCACCAACAGCCTTGCCAGGAGGGTGCATGCTCAGATCGCCGAGCAGGAGCTTTGTTTCAGACATGCGCAGCCTCTGCTCAATCGTCTAAGCGGCGTCGCCTGGCCTCCCAGTGAAGAGGCGGATTTGAACTTGCCGTGGGCGAGGCAAGTGATGCCCAGCATTGCCATTCGCAGTTTGTGCTCGGATTTGGTTCTCCCTCCTCTCCTTCCTCCTCCTCCTCCTCTTCCTCCTCGTCCTTCGAGAATGTATTCCCGAGGTTCTGCGAGGTTGCCCAGCCGGGCTGCGCCCGCAGGACACAGGAATGGAATGTCGCCACCTTTGCCGGGCGGCTGGATCGGAGTGGTACCCCAGAACAGGTACCCTTGGAGATGCCCACAATGTTTTCGAGACGTCCGACCATGACCATGTGTTTATCACACCCCTCTGCGCCTTCCGAGAAATATTCCAAGGTTCAGGGGCAACGATAGGGGGGATAGGCATAGGGGGGGGGATACATCGACCCCCAATCGCCCATTGATCGCCGATAGGGGCCCGATATCCTCAACCTGCTCAGGAAGGTGCGGACTCAGTATCAGAGGCCTATCGCCGATCTATCGGCGATGTACCGCCAATTCCAGGTCGATGCATCCCCCCCTATGCCAGGCCCCCCCTGTCGTTGCCCCTCAAAGGTGGGTCCTCGAGCATTCTCAATTTGGTTATTTGGGATCATCTTGCATTGGCGAGGCAGGTCTCCAGGAGCTCCCCTTCCAGCAGCGGAGCGCGCTGAAGGACATCTTTTTCGCCGCCAGAGCCGACAGATAGGATGTTCAAGGTCGGGGCCCTGACCGACAGGCAGAACATCGCAATTTGCCTGCAGGTGCCACGGGCTCTACGAGCCTCGTCCGCGCCCGCGGGAAGGTATGAGAAATGCAGCAGTGTCTGGGCCGGGAAAGGTCTGGAAGTTCATCCGGAGCTGGCTAGGCATATTAGCTCGGAAGGCTGCCGATAAAGTGTCGATGACCAGAACCACGCCCATACGAATGACCTTGCGAGCGTAGCTATTTTAGAGGATTTCGCTCGCCCCCCCGCGCGCGAGCATGACTTCCCTGAAAGCGAGCAGCGGCGAGCGCAGCTTCATCAGCGTTTGAAGTTCTGGTCGCCTAAGAGGCGGCAGATCCCGCTTCCTCCTCGTCGTCCTCCTCCTCTTTCCTCTTCCTCCTCCTCATCTTTCCTCTTCCTCCTCCTCCTCGTCCTCCTCCTCCCCCTCCTCCTCCTCCTCCTCCTCCTCCTCCTCCTCCTCCTCCTCCTCCTCCTCCTCCCCCCCCCCCCTCCTCTCCTCTCCTCCTCCTCCTCCTCCTCCTCCTCCTCCTCCTCCTCCTATTCCTCCTCCTCCTCCTCCTCCTCCTCCTCATCCTCCTCCTCCCCTGAATTTCTGCGCCTGACGGTCCCCTCTCCCAGTATTCCCACTGAGATGAGGTGTGCAGCCAGCCTCCCGGCCACCCCCAGATACATGATGCGGTTTTGGGGTGAGATCTCGGATGGAGTCCAGGTGGCTCCAGGCAGCGAGTGGGATATCGACGTCGGGACGCTCCAGGGCATTCTTGTTTCCAGGAGGGATTTTGCGTCCTGCCCCGATGGCATCCCTCATTCTTATTGGAAGCACGCCAGGGGCCGTACTCCCCGCGCGGCGCTTGGCAATTCTGGCAATCTGCCATCAGGAATTCATCACCGCTGCACCCACCGCTAACTCTTATGTGTACCCCTGGGGCAACAGGCCATCAGCCGGCTTGCGCAACGCAGTGCGGGCGAGGGCCAACGTTGCCTCCATGGTGGGGGTTCTGAGGAAGGCACGTGCTCGCGCAATTGTCAATCGCAAGCGAGCCACCTGAGAGCTCCTGCAGCGGAGGACTTTCGGCCCCCCCCCTTATGGGGCCTGGCCACCCCCCTTTTTCCCTCGTAATCATGTCGGCGCACCCCTAGCACGCTTCGTGCCCCATCTGGAAGCTCCACCGAAGCCCCCCGCATGGCGTCACCCCGCCCAGTCCAGCACACCTCTCACACTTTTCGTGGCGTTCCACCGAAGGCTCCAGTGGCAGCGCCCGCATGGCGTCACCCTGCACATGTCGGCGCACCTTTCACACGCTTCGTGACCCCACAGGGAGCGCTCGAAGGACCCAGTGGCAGTGCCCGCATGGCGTCCCCCCGCCCGTTCTGGCACACTCTTCGCCCGTTTTGTGACCCAAAAAGTCAGTCGGGCCTGTCCTCCAACAGGGGGATCTCGGACGAAAAAAATATGTTTCTTTCATTGCAAAAATATTGGAAAATGTCCCCATATCGTTCTTGGATTCTTTTTGAATCTTCACCCTGTAGAGGGACAGGCCCGACTTAACCCAAGAAGGAGCCCCACAGAATGACCCAGTGGCAGCGCCCGCGCGGCCTCCACCCGCCCATTTTGGCACACCTCTCACGTCTCGCGGGCCCACAGAGAGCCCCAGCGAAGGCCCCAGTGGCAGCGGCCGCATGGCGTCACCCAGCACATGTCGACGCACGTTTCCCAGGCTGCGTCGCCCCACTGGGAGCCCCACCGAAGGCCCCTGTGGCAGCGCCCGCGCTGCGCCACTCCGCACTGTTCGGCATACTTGTTGCACGCCTCGTGACCCCACAGGGGGCCCCACCGAAGGCCTCTGTGGTAGCGCCCGCATGGCGTCGCCCCGCCCATTCCGACACACCCCTCACATGTTTCGCGACCCTTCAGGGAGCACCACTGAAAGCTCAAGTGGCAGTGCCCGTAAGGCGCCATTCCGTCCATATCGACACACTCCTCACTCGTGTGTTCGCCCAACCTCCGTTCTACCTGCCTCGCGGTAATCACAGTCGGGTCTTTCACCAGCATATGTTCATGGAAGGCTTGGATGATTGCCAGATTGATCGAGAAGCGCCTCTGGTCGGTGAATTGTTTGTTTGTTTGGTTGGCTGTTCGCTTGGTTGGCGAATCGATTGACAAATCGATTGTGTGGTTGGTTGGTGAGTTCCACCGCTCGGTGAACTCGGCCAGCTCAGTTGAGCAGCGCTTTTGCAAAGGAGCATGTCTGGGAAGTACTATGATGTGAGGCTTGATGGCGCGGCCCAAAGTGCCACGAGGAATAGCATTCCACTATCGGAAGGACGCAGGACTGGCCGGTGTATGTTACTTCTGGGCTGTGCCAAGGCGATGTCCCCCTTTAGATCCACGCAGTGTCCTGCGGTGTCCCGCGTGCCGTGGCTTGGGTTTTCATCTGCAGTGCCCGGTGGTGCCATTTCAGAGTGCGCATGGATTGAGACTGCATGCGCTCACTCGCGCAGCTTACAGTGCCGTTTTTAATACATGCTCCGCGTGCGGATCATGTATAAAAAATGCAGGGTTTAGTACTAAAAACAAAGAGGAGCTCATGCATACATTTCTTCATACATTAGTCATGGATTAATATCCAATATTCAAAAATCCTATGTATTAGAACTTGCCCTGTATGTAGGCATGGGGCGATGTGTGACTAGTTGGGCAGGCGGTTATGGGTCCCTGTCGCGTTGTACGAGCCTGGTCACACAGACTGATAGCTCCGCGGCTCTGGCTGCAGATGATCGTTGTTATCGTTGCCGCTACTGCTGCTCATGTTCTATCCGATGGGGGTTGCGGGGCATCGGGCATTGAAGTTCCGTTTCGAGCAGGAGGAGAAGGGTGGCGAACGGGAAGATGCAACGTGACTGCGAGGAGGAGGAGGAATTGATATGGACGGAAGGAGGCATGGAGCGAGGAAGTGGAAGGAGGGAGAAGTTTAGGAAACGACAGGGAAGGGAGTGAGGAAGCAACAGGCAAGGAGAGGATGAGGATGATGAGGATGAGGATGAGGATGAGGATGCTGATGCTGATGCTGCTGCTGCTGCTGCTGCTGCTGCTGCTGCTGCTGATGATGATGATGATGATGATGATGATGATGATGATGATGATGATGATGATGATGATGATGATGTTGGGCGGGAAGCGAGGGAAAAGGGGGAGGGGAGGGAGGGAGCAACACTTGATTCATTGGCTTACGCCACACCGCCGACCTCTTGGGGCAGCAGCAATCGTTCCCCGCGTGGCCTGTCCAGACAGCCTGTGAGGCCCCTCTAGACACGTTTTGGAGCCCTCTTAGGACCGTCCTGCCGTTCCCACGGGCCGTTGCTATGGTTTCTGGAGCCTTCGTGGGGCGCCCGGAAGCCGTCCCTTGGGGTGCCAGAGGTCGATCTTGGAGGTTGATTGGGCCGTTGTGGGCCTCGTGGAAGCCCAAGAAGCGACTAAGCTGAACATGTACGTTTTACCTAAGGACTGGGACGGTTTTGGCGTCTGGAGGCCTGCTTTGAGCGCCTCGTGGTCGCGTATGCAAGCGTCTTGGACGCCCCATGGGGCTGTCTGGAGGCAACCTTGGGCGGTTTGGACCGAATCGTCCCCCGCGTGGGCCGTCTGGGCAGCCTTTGGAAGCCCTCTTAGGCCCTTCCTGCCGTTCCCCCGGGCCGTTGCCATGGTTTCTGGGGCCTTCGTGGATCGCCCGGAGTCCGTCGTGGAGCCTTTTGGAGTCTCTTGGGGTGCCAGAGGTCGATCTTGGAGGTTTACTGGGCCGTTGTGGGCCTCGTGGAAGCCCAAGAAGCGAATGTGCTGAAAATGCACGTATTACCTAAGGGATGGGACGGTTTTGGCGTCTGGAGGCCTGCTTGGAGCGCCTCGTGGTCGCGTATGCAAACGTCTTGGACGCCCATGGGGCCATCTGGCGGCGATCTTGGGCGGTTTTGACCGAATCGTCCCCCGCGTGGGCCGTCCGGACAGCCTTTGGGGCCCTCTTGCCCCGTTTTAGAGCCCTCTTGGAATTGTCCTGCGGCTTTACTAAGCCGTTGCTATGGTTTCTGGGGCCTTCGTGGATCGCCCGGACGCCGTTTTGGAGTCTTTTTGGGAGCCTCTTGGGCTGGCGAGGGTCGATCTTGGAGGCTGCTTGGGCCGTTTTGCGCCGCGTGGAAGCCGAATGTGCGAATGTTGTGCAAATCTACGTTTTCCCTAGGGAATGGGACGATCTTTACCTCTGGGAGACCTCTTTGGGGCGCCTCGTAATATTGTTTCAAACGTCTTGGGGACTTATGGAGCCGTCTGGAGGCAATCTTCGATGTTTTGGGGCGATCTTTCGTCGATTCGTAGCTCTCTTGGACCGTTCCGGGAACCGTTAGAACCTTTTTGGGCCGTTTTGGGGCCTCGTGAGGCTCCAAGTGTGCGGATGGTGGATTTGGCCCCCCCCCTCCAAACCGGCCGGACCAGGCCCCCGGGGGAGGGGTTTGGGGAGGGGGAAGCATCTCACACGCCGTGACCCCAAGGGGTCGGCGGATTATCCGTGGCCCCCTCCCTTCCCCTCTTCGCTCTTCAGGCTCTCCGGCGCCTCCTCATATCCGTCCTTTTCCCTCCGATCTAGGCCTCTTCCTGTCTCTACTCCGCCGCCACTCTCCGTGATTCCTTCCCTTTCTGCACCCTTCCCTCCGTTCTCCAGGCTGCTCCTCCCCCCCGGTCCGCCTTGGCGTCCGGCCGCTTGCCAGCCGTGTCCCCCTTCCCCTTCACCTTCCCCTCCGCCTTCTCACGAGGAGGACGTCTGATCTGATCTCCCCCCTCCTCCATAACGAAGACGTCGTCTCCCCCTCCCCCTCCACCTCGCCTTCTCCTTCCACCTCTGCCGCGTCCTCATCCTCCACCGTCTCCACCGTGGGCGGGAACCGGGAACCGTATTTGGAACGCTTCCCTCTCAGCATGTGACCTCCGCCCAAGGCGCCGAGGACGCGTTTTTTCCGCCGCGGCGGCGCCTGAAAGTCACGTCCTGGCTAGCTCTTTGGGCTGCCCTTGCACCTCCACCATTTCCACCTCGTCCTCGTCCTCCCCCTTCTCCAGTTTGTCCAGTGCAGTGTACACCAGTGCCCGAGTTGAGTTTCGAGATCTGTGACACTTGTCCCAGTCAGGCCCGGCCTCGCTGCCAGTCAAGCTTCATTGTGTATCGAGATTGGATGCGTTCGCATCTGTACATACGTATCTACAGATGTACATGAACTCCACCTCGTCCCCCGTCTGCACCTCCAGCGCGCCCTCTCTCTCTCTCTCTCTCTCTCCTCCCGCTC